GTTTAAGCATAAAGGGAAATTCTGAAAGCCGCAGACGAATTATTACAAAAGATCTTACAATGTTTTTTTATTTATTTTTTTTTACTTAAAGACAAGCAGAAAAACAGAAACAGGCAACTTTTGCATATTAAAGGAATTTGTTTAATGCTTCACTATACTAAAACGTCGCAAAAAATCCTGGTTTAATTTAACATACAAATCTCAGACTTTTTTTTCTTTTCTTAACATTTTCAAACATTTTAAATGTTTTTGAAACCCCAATACTTGCAAAAGCAGGGCAGAATGTTGTGTATGTCATATATGTGGATGTCAGAAGTGTTTAAAATGTCATGTTTTTTTTTTTGTTACTACGAGAGTATTTTCACAAGGAAATAAGTTTGAATGCAAAACATTGCAACAATATATTATGACCGAGCTTTGGTCATACAAATCATTAACAATCAAGTTAAAAAGTGCTGTTAAGTTTATGTTCCTCAAATTGCTTTGATCGCAGATGAACACTCAGGTGACTGGATCAGGTACAGATGTGAAGTTATGATGGCCTCTGGTGGTGAGTTGTGGAAGCTGCAGTGGTGGATGTTTTTAGTGAGGTCCTGACTCCTTTCCATCGTTCACTGTTGTTTGCAGCTCTGACGAACGCTACTTCTGCCACTGAGAGGCTGGTCAATGCTGTTATTGTACCTAGCTGAGTATTTCTGTTCCTCTTCTGTAAAAAACAAGAAAAACTGTTAAGAACAACTGTTAAGAAAATCGGACGGGTCGTAAGCCACGGGTAATCACCTAGACGCCATATTGAATTTAAAGGGGTCATATGATGTTGCTAAAAAGAACATTATTTTGTGTATTTGGTGTAATGAAATGCGTTTATGCGGTTTAAGGTTAAAAAAACACATTATTTTCCACATACTGTACATTATTGTTTCTCCTCTATGCCCCGCCTTTCGAATACCTCAAGCGTGTGACGGAAATGTTACGCCCCTTACCATATTGTGATGCAGTGTCCTGGCCGGAGACGGGACAAAAACATTAAAAGAGCGAGAATAAAAGTTACACCTTCTTTCTTTGCGTGAACATTTGGGCAGCAAATCTTCCCACATCGTGACATAGACGTGGGGGCGTGTTAGAATGAGCCGTTTTAGGTAGGCGTGGTTGACTCTTTAACTTTTATAAAGAATATCTCTTTGGATTTGAGACTTTAGTCTTTGCAACTTTACAGATCTTCTTTATGCACCAAGAGCTTGTAACACTCCAAAGAGAAAGGAAAAATTTTAATCGCATCATATGACCCCTTTAACGCGAATAAAAACAAGGCTGTGAGGGACAGACTTAAACAAGTCTTTACAGTGGCACGCACTGTATAAAGGAACTAGATCACGTAATTTTCACACAACTCTTTCAAAACTGTTTAATGGAGTTTTTTTTCCCGGAAAATATGTTTTATCTGCTGAACAATCGGTATGTTGTTAAACAACAGTAGGCCTACAATCCATTAAACGCACTCGTTTGTCAGTCTCGTTCCTGTCAAGAATTAAATATGGCGCTACTCTGACTAATATTGCTATTGTTTTGTTATTTCTTCAACAAAAACATTTTTAAGTTTCACATTTGACTTGAAATTTTGATTGTTTCAAAGTGGTTTTATTCTCTCTCAACTTATTCAGTACTTTTAACACAATTGTAACCACATTTGTTTTCATGTTTTTCAAAAAAATTAATAACATTAATATCCTTTAATATTTGGCCAGTGTTTAATATCTTGAGCTTAAAGGACAAGAATATTGTCCTACCGTCCAACGTCTGTTGGTCCGTTCTCCTTCTTGACCTTCTTAACTGCTTTGCCTTCATTGCCTCTCTCACTTTTTGCATTTTCTCATCTCTCTTTTGCTCATCCTCCAATCTTCTCAACTCTTCTTTCTCTGTTTCTCTGGCCTGTTCCAACACCACCTCACTGGAGAGCATAGTCTCTCCATTGGTAGCCATCATTTTCTTGATCTTAGCCAGAAGACCAGCCACCTGGTCCTGGCCTGCTTTGGGATTGCTGTACAGAGCATGGAAACGGCCTCCACATTTCTCAACTAGCCTGTGTAGCTCCATATTCAACTCCACTTCTTGCTTTAAGGTGGAGCCACGTAACTGCTTTCTGTTTAAGATGGTGAAGAGCACCAAGCTATAACTCCAGGCTTCTGGACCAAAAAACTCTACATGTTCCTCCACGGCACGACGCTCATGCTGGGAGAACGAGAATGACAGTGGCACCACCAGCAGCAGGGCATGGGCACCAGGCTGGCACAGACTCATACTTCTCATTATCTCCTTCTTCACTGACCATACTGATGCAGAGGAGCCATTGATGTTGAACCATTCCCAACCTGGGGTGTCAACCACCAGCACCTGTTGTCCTCTCACAAGACCCTGACATGGGAAACTCATTCGGGTCTTTATCCCAACCTCGTCAAAGGCTTTCTTGCCCAAAATGGCATTACCAACAGCACTTTTCCCAGATTCTGTCACTCCAACCAGGACAATTCTCAGGTTAGGACAGTCAGAAAGACAAATGCCTTGTTCTGTGGATAAAAAGATAGACATGACAAAAGGCTAAATTTAAGATGTGTGTTTAAATTTTAATTAGTTTTAACATGAATAAACTTATTTAATGCATATTTGTCTGTCATACATAAATGAGATTCACTAAAAAATATACTGGCATAATTTATTAACTATTTAATTTGTTTTATTTAAATAATCACATTTTCAAAATGCATTTATTCAAATTGCTTAGAATGAGCACAGATTTGTTTGTGTTTAAAATTAAATAAAATGTGTTTGAACAATACATAGCTATGGAACAAGCAAAATTTAGTTAGTTAAAATGTTTGAGATTGAAACAAATTGGATTAATTGATGATAAATATATAAACCTGGTTATTGTGTATTTAAAACACATGCAGTTTAGTAGTAGTAATACAGAAATCTTACCTGCTTTATTAATATATCACTGATAAATATGCATCAAGTTAATTAGTTTAAATTTTTTATATTTAATTCAAATGCAGAAATACTAAATTTAGGTTGAAAATCTTAATGACTGTACAGTACATGATAACATGGAAGGTGATAGCCGAAATAAATGTAATACTGTAGCCATTTTAAAAAACAGTAAGCATAAATAAACTTCTACCACCTCCCATATGAGCTTCATTTACCATAAGTTACGTTACAATTTTGTGTCGTTTGGTCTGAATTGGTAGCAGTAAAGACAGCAATAAAAAGGCTGTATGAGTATCAGCTGCTGGCTATTGAAATTATTGCTCCCTCGATAATAGTATTATATAATAAGCACACACCAGATTGGTCTGTAGGCACCAATTGCTTCATTAAATTTTTATTTGATGCATGCCTTATCGATTGAAGTTTAGTATAGGTCTTTTTCATTAAGTGTTACAAATATCACACACTGTAGGTCTACCTCATTTGACATTACCAAACATCTGATGAATGTAACTTTGGCCTTATTTCACTGCCATGACTACTTATTGACGTCAGAGCGTTAGGTAAAATTTAATAGCAGTAATCAAAATCTCTGAACAATCCCTTTAGAGAATGTAATAAAATTAGCAAGTTCTGTAAAATGAAATAAGTACGCTGATTGTAGTAGTCAAACTATAGTATTGTAGCAGTTATTTGGATTCTTGCTAAATAGTCTTGACAGTTTTGGTTAGGAAAGTGAGTGAATTTTATTTTTAACTACATCTGTGGTAGTTATAGTCTACTTTCTAAATTACACAACAAACATAATTTGCACTACAAAAACAAGCTACATTGACCAAACCATTGTAATCCTTTTTTTTTTTAGTGAGTGAATTTTATTTTTAACTACATCTGTGGTAGTTATAGTCTACTTTCTAAAATTACACAACAAACATAATTTGCACTACAAAAACAAGCTACATTGACCAAACCATTGTAATCCTTTTTTTTAAATCTGTGGTTACAATGCTCTAATGACAAATAACACAGTTTAACTCATTACTAACATTAACATTAGTAACTTGTACATTTAATAAAGGACAGTCTATCCAGAAGAGTGTACTGACCGTGACAGTGGGATACTTCTGTTATCTCATCCATTCTGATCCAGTCTGTTCAGTGTTTCTTGGTCAAATCTGCTGCTCTCCTTACAAAACTTTCTTTATTTTCTGACTTGATTGTCTGTTACAGCTGAAACGATTTGACTGGGACATATTTCATCCGTCCTCTTATGTAAATATTGTTTTCTCAGTATATTGTCAGAGCAATCGTGTATCAGTTCTGATCAGGCTGTGTTTACAACCACTTTTACTGTCATATATCCAAAGTACAAACTATGAAGACCACACCTGTTGCTTACTAACTTTTATACCGTTTAAGAATTTATATATGCTTTATTATCAAATCAATTAATAGTTATTAATTTTTAAACTATTCTTTCTAAAATATAAAGTCACACTTTACCCTACAAAACTTTCTTTATTTTCTGACTTGATTGTCTGTTACAGCTGAAACGATTTGACTGGGACATATTTCATCCGTCCTCTTATGTAAATATTGTTTTCTCAGTATATTGTCAGAGCAATCGTGTATCAGTTCTGATCAGGCTGTGTTTACAACCACTTTTACTGTCATATATCCAAAGTACAAACTATGAAGACCACACCTGTTGCTTACTAACTTTTATACCGTTTAAGAATTTATATATGCTTTATTATCAAATCAATTAAGTTATGAATTTTTAAACTATTCTTTCTAAAATATAAAGTCACACTTTACCCTACAGTGATCATGTTATTCTGTGCTGATTTGTAAATATGCCTTTTTAGTTATAATAATATAGTCGGCTAAATAAAGTCTAATATGTGACATGGACTCTATATCACTCTGTATTATTATAATTAATTATTAACACCCAGCCTGGGCTGTTACTTTTTGCACACTAAATTCTGCTTCCACACTGATTCCAAAGGTCATCTTGTGGTTTCTCCACATTGCTGGTGGATAGAAGTGCAGCATAATGGAAAGTCTTAACAACTATTTATTTAAATATAAGGGCTATGTTTTCGCAAAAGGTGAAACCACCGGGGAGTACATTGACTCTCTTCAGCATTTTGAGATTCGTGACGGTGATGTTTTTTTGGTGACGTATCCCAAGTCAGGTAAGATTAAGAAATATTTCAACCTTTCAGTTTAAAAATGTGTTTTTCTTTACATAAATCAATTTATTATACTGGGTTTCATCAAGGAGGGGCCATGATTACAGATTCTGTAAACAGGACAAGAGAGCAGAAGTTTCACATTATACTGTAAAAACCTCTAAGGGTACAGTCATTCGTCTATATTGGCACATGTTAATCTTATGGCCAAAAAACGATAGACAGGCAGACAGATTTTTTAGTTCATCAGTAAAGGATGTTTTATGACTCACGATCCAAATGGTGGCACTACATGGTGCTTAAGTAGACTAACTATAGACTCAAAATCTAATAAATACTAAGATACTGTACCAATAGCAAACACCACAAAATAACTGGCATGACAACTGGTCCCAGTCACCCTCATTAAGTGTGCTGCTAACTGTGTGTGTGTTTTCTTTGGTTGTAACATACTGAACCATATTTTTGCAGGTACAATATGGACACAGAACATTATAAATTTAATTTGTGAGGACGCTGCAGACAAAACAAAATTTCCCAACAATCTTGAGAAGATGCCTTGGTTAGAGTACCGTGAAGGCCGACCTGACTATTCCTTGCGCCCGTCTCCACGGTTATTTGCCACCCATCTCACACCCACACTGATGCCACCAGGCCTTAGGGACAAAAGAGGAAAGTTAAGTATTTAGGCAGTCTCTTATGCAAAAAGTAAAATAAATAACTACTTCAATAAGTATTATTTTGTGTGAGCAAATTCTATATCAGCCACTTATTTGGTTCTAAAATCAAATTTTAGATCAAATTTTGTTTGGTCTAATTCTCAATGCTCTTCATGTCTTTTAAATAGCAGATCGTGTATGTGCTTAGAAATCCAAAAGACAATGCAGTGTCATATTATCACTTTAGCCTCGTCTGGGCCAAGCTTGAGACACCCAAGAACTTTGAAGACTTTCTGCAGCAGTATCTAGCAGGAAATGGTAAGCAATACAGCACATTCAAATATTTTTAACCTGTTAAATGTAAACACCAAATTCAGGACGAATTGTTTTTGTACAGTAGGTGTCACTTTAAACAGAATGATCAGTTCATACCTTATGTTTTAGTTGGCGGTTCATCTTGGTTTGATCATGTCCGAGAGTGGTACAGTAAAAGAGACCAGTACAGCATCCTTTTCCTGTCATATGAGGACATGGTCATGGTGAGTAATCACAGCCTCAAAATATGTCAAAACAATTTGCAGGATGCTAAATATTAAAGATGTATTTTTATACCTTCCTTACACTGGTGAATTTGGCACCACATTCAGGATCTCAGGACAGCGGTGGAGAAAATCAGCAAGTTCTTGGAGAAAAATCTGGATGACGCTGCTATCGCACATATTGTTGAGAAGGCCACTTTTAAAAACATGAAGAAGGACCCGAGAGCAAACTATGAATTCATTCCTGGTGATCGACTGCTTAAGCCCCAATTCATGCGCAAAGGTCAATGTTCAAAGATTATAATCTTGGAAAGTAGATAAGATGAATCCTTCACTTACTCAGTTGTTATGATTGGTCTGATGTTGCAGGCACAGTAGGAGATTGGAAGAACACATTCACTGTGGCACAAAATGAGATGTTTGACCAGATCTTCAAAGAAAGAATGAAAAACATACCACTGCACTTCATCTGGGACTTAGACGCCAAAACAAACTGAAACTATTCACAAAACAAAAGAACCAGCATGTTTTGCCATTGGACCTTAAACACGGTTTACTGGTAATGTTAAAAACTTCCAAATAAATGATCGTTTCTGAAGAAGAGCCCCATTGGCTATGAATACCAAAGTTTTTTTTTTTAAATTTATTAATTTTAAGAAATTAATACTTTTATTCACCAAGGATGCATTAAACTGATTTAAAGCAGGGGTCCTCAACTCTGGACCTCGAGACCGCTTTCCTGCAGAGTTTAGCTCCAACCCTAATCAAACACACCTGACCAAACTAATCAAGGTATTCATGATTACTACAAAGTTTTAGGTATGTGTGTTTAATCCAGGTTGGAGTTAAAAAGTGGATCACAAGGTCCAGAGTTGACGACGCCTGATATAAAGTGACAGTAAATGCTGTTCTATTGAACTCTCTAGTGATGAATCTTGATTTCCAAAATAAATAATGAATATAGTCAAAACTTTGTTAAACAATGGTTATACACAATCTACTACATGCCTTCTATCATCTGATTGATTATACATTTTTAGAAAGTAAAAGTCCTTTTAGTATAATTCTAGTTTAGTATAACACCCCCTTTCCGGTTGTGGTACACATCTTTTTTCTAGAGATTTTTATGAAGTAAAAGTAATAGCTTCTGTACTGTTAGTAATATTTCAACATTTACTGGACCTAAGCAACTTAGGCTACTTGATTATCCCTTTTTTTTTTTTTGAAAAATACATCAGGCTTATGTTAATTTGTACTTCTCTCAATCATTATTGTACTACATTGCATTGTTTTTTTGTTGGCAGATTTTTAAGCAGCACAACTACTTTCAATACTGATAAGTAATGTTTATTGAGCACCAAATCAGCATATTAGAATATCTGAAGGATCATGTGACACTGAAGACTTGAGTAATGACTGCTGAAAATTCAGCTTTGCCATCAGGAATGAATTACATCTTAAAATATATTCAAATAGAAAAGTAGCTATTATAAATTGTAATATTTGAAAATGCTACAGTTTGTGCTGTTTGATCAAATAAATGCAGCCTTAGTGAGAACTCAATGTCAGACCATTCATTTAATTTCATAGACACTTCAAGGGTATACATTTCATCAGCATGTTTGTTCCCTGGGAATCAAACCCATGGTCTTGGCATTTCTAACACAATGTTTTAACAATTAAGATTAAATAGCAAGATTTATCAGCACGAGTTCTTAAATGAAGGGCCATCTATATTGCCCTTAAACTCCAGAGCCTAATCTATAATGATTAAAATAGGAAAGGCAGTCAGAGACAGCACCACAGTAAATAAATAATCAATTATCTTTATTCAGCTCTGACAGCGTTGAAACACATAATGCCAGCAGCTGTGGTAGTTAATGATGCCTTAATTGTCTTCATCTGTTGGGAAAAATTAAAAATGCATCAGAAACAGACGTAACCAGATAAAAACAAAATAGTATGGAAAAAGACAAAGTGAGAAACAATCGGTTATCCTTACCCTCTTCATCTTCTTCCTCATCCTCATCCTCCTCCTCTTCATCTTCATCTGAGCTGAAGGTTCCATCAGGCAGGCTATACACCCTAATTACTTGCTGTCAGGGACACACAACAAAAAACAAGAGTTATGCATTAATTATAATGTTGATTGCAGAAAAATACTTTGAAGTTGCCAAGGTGATTCCTACTGGCACAGTATTGCAGCTAAAATTAACACCACCGATACCACGCAGGTGTGTTAAACAGTGCATTTCATTTCTACTCAAGAACTTTATTATTTTACTACATTTCTACTTTATTATTTGCTCATAATAAAGAATGCTTAGATGGGTTTTTATATACAAATAAGACAAAACTACTCCTCAAGTAGATTTGGAGATTCCTTCTTTGCTGCAGTATATCAAATATCTCAATTCTGCAGTGCAACAGACTAGAAACCCAGCACAGCTTCCTCCTTGCCTTATTAGGGTCTTTGAGGATGAGGTATTTGCCCTCCTCCAGCTTGTGACAGATGTCAATCACACAGCGCAGGATGCCCCAGGCGTTCTCCATGCTCAGGTTAATTTGGCTGGCAAACTCGTTGGGCTTGAACTGCTGTGTGCCCAAGACGACATGCCTAGATGAGTCCTTGACATGATAACGGGAGACGTACCTAAAGAGAGAAGGAGGTGCAGTGAGAAATCAGATTGACAAATCAACATCACATAGAAACGGTTCTATGGTACTCACCCTAATTTGAGGTACTCAGATCCCGCGAGAATAGCACAGCAGGTCCAACGGGCCAATTTGTAACTGTTGTTCTTCAGCTCTGTGGCCAGAACCGCTCCTCTCTGGGAATCCAGTTTCTGTCTCCAGTCCACTCCATTGCAGTGCTGTCGAGAGCACAGAATTATATCACCTGTATCTCTGAAACGGCCAAATACAATTATCCAGCTCTCTTTCTGTGTCTTACTCGGGAGTCCCACTCGTTCAGAGTCTTGACATTGATGAAAGAGACTTCTCCGTTTGCGCCAGTCATCACTCCATCATGCTCACAGCGCACAATGAGGTCAATGTCATCCCCCAGCTTCCACCTCCGGTACCTGAGAATCAGTCAGGTAAGGTCACTACTTCGAATTTTATATACTTTGTTAGCAATTGGTAATCCCTTATAATATATCATCATTCTTAGGCTGTTCAAACAGCACTCAAATATATCAGAATTTTAGGCTCAAACACCATGCATAGTCTGTAACAAAACGAGTCAAATCTGATTTAAAGCCACATATGGAAATAGAAAAAGAAAAGTGAAGAAAAAAAAACAGATAGATAAGGGAATTTAAAAAAGATTTTTTTCAGCCTGTCTGAACAAATTTCATGGTAAATGTTACAAAAATGATTTCTATCTGTATCTATCTAGCAAAGCTCAGCACAAACCTGTAGGCAACAGATGCCACCTCACTCTTCTCCGTGTCCTCCTCAACAAATGGGTTAGGATTGGGGAACTTGTACCTCTCTCCTCCCTGAAACCAAAGCAACAAAAAAACATTCACACAAATATCTTTGTCTGAAACGGAATATGGATCATTCATGCATGATGTTAATGGCCGGTTTACTGTGGAAAACACAAGCGTACCATTCTGAGGCACTGCTGGCTGAAGTTGTGGTTGATGTAGGTGGCCTCCATGGCCAGGTTTCGGGGGGAGTTGAGGGAAGTGCCCTCGTCCTGAGGTGGCTCATTCGCGGTCTCACTCACAGTAAGCAGGTCTACAAGGGAGAAAAAGTTTAAGCTTTAAAACTGCACACGTGCACAGATATTACTTTATGCACCAAAAACACAAATAATTGAATTATCAGGGCTTGAGTTTTTTTATTTTTTTACCAGTAATCACAGTAATTTTCAATGACCCAACTAAAAAAATTTAAGTGTTTTCATCTCTGGCATAAATGTTGCTAAAAATAAAAATATTTCTAACATTTCATTTTTGCAACCTATTTTAGTCAGAGAAAAATATGGTTTTTCAATAAATGTTCAAGGTTAGAGTTAATAAACATCTGTGATTATTTTTAAATATATCTTTAATGATATAAGCCTACAAGTTCTATCATTTCCAACTTTCATTGCAGATTGATATAACACCATGACAGTTATATTTCATAAAGTGAAAGTGACGTGTGGCCAAGTATGCTGACCCATACCCCATACTCTGCATTTAACTCATCCAAGTGCACACACACAGTAGTGAACAAACACACCATGAACACACACCCGCAGTTGGGGGTTCGGTGCCTTGCTCAAGGGTCTCAAATCAGTCGTGGTATTGAAGGTGGAAGAGAGCGCTGGTTATTCACTCCCCCCACCTACAATCAATGCCGGACCTGAGACTTGAACCCACGACCTTCGGGTTACAAGTCCGATTCTCTATCCATTAGGCTGCCCCCATGAAGATGAAACATGAAGATGACATTTATTGATTCATAAAATTTCTTACATTCAGTATCTATAATAATTGATAGTGCCAAGATTTAAAAAAAAAAAAAAAAAAAGA